GAAGAAATAGATTTTGAATTATCATAGTCTGGAGCTATCTTACTATATCAAACCACTGTATCTGATCATCAAGAAGAAACCCAAGGATGAAGACGAAGCAGGGATGTTTAAAAAGTTTAAGGAGATGATTGCTAAACTTCAGGTGAGTATTTCTTTTAATGAAATTTCAGAACTAATACATAAGTATGTTGTTTATGAAGAAGTTTATATTCGGTAAAACAAAGAGAAAGGAAGGTGAGCAGGTAGATGTGATAGATAAGTGCATTGCTATATTGCATAGAAAGATTCCAATCAAGCAAAAGGATCCATATAAGTTCATTATTTCTTGTAAAATCAAAGAATTAAAAATTCCACATACTTTATGTAATTTAGGGCCGAGCATCAATTTGATACCTCTGAAGATAGATAACATATTATATTTGGGAGATCCAAAACCTACTGATATGACTTTCACCTTAGCTGATATTTCTATCACGTACCCTTATGGTATTTTAGAAGATGTTTTGGTATGTGTGAATAGTTTGGTTTTTCCTATAGATTTTGTAGTGGTGGACATGAAAGGGGACATCGAGAATTCTCTAATTCTCGGAAGGCCATTCTTGGAAACTGGGAATACACTAATAGATGTAGAATCATGTGAGCTCATCCTACGATTTAATAATGAGTAAGTTATTTTTAATGCTTGTGAATGGATGCAATATGCGGACAATTTGGAAACATTTTACCAAGTGGAGGTTAAATAAAACAAAGAGGACAAAGGAATGGCCAGAGGACATGTGTATGGAGTGAGGGAATACTCTGCGCTTAGCATACATTAGGCATTACCCGTTAAGCTAATGACGGTAAAAAAGTGCTTGATGGAAGGCAACCCATCCGTAAGTTTAAGTTTTGTAAAAAAATCATTTCAATTTATTTGATTTGATCAATACTCTTTTTTGGTATGCTAATCAAAAGGAATATGGAGATTGGATGAAAGTGAAGAAACCATAAAAAGGATGAAAAGAGGGAAGTTTTGGAAAAATCATGCACACCATCACACGCGTGACAAGCCTATGTCGTGCATGCGATGATAGGTATCACACGTGCGATAGTGACATTACAAGTTATCCATTGAAGATGGCTGTTAGGATCTGACCGTTGGTGAATATTATTGGCACCACCCGTGTTATGTATCATATGACGCACGCGATAGCTTGTTTTGCTGCCTATAAATTGAAATTTTTTATATGATCTTACACTATTCCTTTCCTCTTCTCTTTCAAGTCAACTCTTCTATAATATCACGCCTTCAATTCTTTTTTCTTGCATTTTCTGTGTTTTTGTGTTGTTACAGTGCAGATGACTCCTGAGAGAAGTAAAGTTCAAAATGGTTCAACCTTAAACTCTCAAACTGTATCAAATGCTCCAACTTTTCCCAACTTTAAATTCCTCTCCAAAGTCAATGCAGAGAAATATCTCAAATTGGTGGATTAACACATTGTGAGGGAAATGGCATTCGATTGGGACGACCTACAAGGTTTCAAATAGGTGGTAGAGATGTTGCAACAAAGGCGATGGGTAAGGTTTAATAATTTGATTGAAGAAACAAACAAATCCATTGGTTTATAGTTTTATTCAAATGCGGCTTTTCAAAGTTACAACTCTTATACGTCATATGTGTGAGGTAAGTATGTTGACTTTTCTCCTTCTGCTATGAATTCTCTTTTTCTTCTCGAACCTCCTGAGTCATGTGTTATTATAACTAAAAGAGATGAACACTATCAAATAAATGAAGCCATGGCTCAAGGGATGCTATTTTTTTTGTAGACTTAGGGTGGAATGGGTGATTGAGCACAACCTTAGGTTGCGGCTTAAAACTGCAGATTTTTTCCCCAAATCCTCGAGAATGGACATCTTTCTTCGTGCAAACCTTAGAAGTTGTGTCCAACCGGTCTCAATTTATTATTAAGCGGTTTTTAGGACTGTTAGCTCTTTTTAAATGATAAACCTATAAATGTAGGATATATAATTGCTGAAAATATTAAATATATGGCTAACGCTTCACAACAAGCTTGTGGAAATTTTGGTATTATTAATTAATTGTGCAGGTTAGCTGGAGTCCCTACTCACCTGAATGACGAGAAGATAAGTCATAAAGCTTCAATCAACACATCATCCATTAGATGGCTTCAACATCATCAACAACCAATGGAAGCCCAACAAGATCAAGGAAATAATCAAGCAAAAGATGGTGAAGAATTTTACCATCCCCACGTTCAAAATCAAGATGCGCAAATGCAAAATAATCAACAAGCATCTAAATTTCAAAGGAGAATGGAAGCTCGTGCAAGGGGAATAACAATATGGGCAACATAACTTTCACCCATCTTGTATGATGAACCCCCAAACTTTGCATCGATGATCAGAGACTTCTACAACCCACAACAAGACTACATGTATGCTCGATGCTTAAGAGTACGCTTTGCAAGCGCTGAAGACATACATAATTAATTCAGAGACCAAGATCGAGAACAAGAAAGAATAAGAGAACATATGAGTGCTGAATGGGCCAGAAAAAATAGAGACTTCAATAACACAATGAGCGATATGCATGACTTTTTTCGATTTGATGACATGTGAAAATAATATGTTGAAAATTTTAATTTTTAACAAGTTTTCATTATTTTTGTTTATGCCTAACGAAGAGTAATAGCTACTTATAAGTGATGTTCCCCATTGTACCAGTTAATTTATGTTTGGAATTAATAAACAAGTTTATTATTGTTGTTTCTTTGAGATTTAAAAAAAGTGCAACTTTAGCAATGAACAGATGAACCAAAAACATCATCAGATGAACCAAAAGCATCATCAGAAATAAGTTTGATCATCATGAAAGTTCCTTGTGGATTGAGAGTTGAGGACAAAAGGAACAATCAACTAACTTGTACCCGATCTCTAGATATCTCAGCTAGTAAGGTTTGAGCCAAAAAAAATCCATTGTTTACTTTTCCTTCTTATGAGAGTATTCGTACAATTGTTATTTTTTAGAATTTGTATTGTTTCTGATTTAATCTATTGATTTGGTAATTACACACTGAGGCACTTGTTTGTGGTAAACTCTGAGCCTTTTTAAACTAACATGTATTTGATGTTTATATCCATTGCTAACCACTTTGAGCCTAATCATTTTCTTTCTGTGACAAAGCCACATATATTAGCCATTTAACTTGAAAAATTAATTTTTTTTCACCCTCTTTTTGGAGTTAGATAGAAATTTTAGTTCCTTTTTCATATGCAAAAGAATAAGTTTGAGGCTGCTCTTGAAAATGAACAAAATTTAAGTTTGGGATAGAGTACTAGAGATATTGATCAAAAAATTTAAAAATTTGAGGAAAAAATCAAGAAGTTAAAGCAACTTCTTAAAAAAAAAAATAGAAAAACAATGATAAGGACCAAGAAAAGGTTAATCTTTAATATTGATTAAATAAGAAAGAGTTGATATGATAAGAAATATGATAATATAAAGAAAATTAGATACTTAACTTCAAATTATCCTACCTTAACATAAGTCTTATTGCAATCTTAAAACCTCTCTAAAAATGTGTGTTTGATTTTGTTAAAAAATTTATAAATTTATGATAAAATACTTTTGTACGTTGATTGTGTGATTATTCTGTCAATACAAGTAAAATAATAGTAAAATGAGAGACGGGTAGAAAAAATTCACTCTAAAAGTTATTTAATTGTGGTTGAAGAAAAACTTATACATTTTTAAAATCAAAACTATAATATCTAGTTAAAAAGAGTAAATTTCTACATTCCTACACAATCTTCTTGACCTTTTAGGCAAAAATAATATTTTAAAATCTAAATCTAAGATTGTTCAAATAAAAACATTGGATTTTCATAAAATAAAAATAATAAAAGTCACTTGTTATTTCTATTTTTTAATTCAACCATGAGGACACTTTGCCTTTGATACACTCTTCAAATAAAGTGTATGTAAGCAATTTGAACTACTCCTTTTTAGTCTGTCTCTATCAATGATTTCAACGTGGTTATCCTCTTGAATACATTTGGATAAATATCAAGAAGAAATGATGCTGTGATTCCACTGTTATAGAATATGACAGCTTTAGAGAGATATTTTCTTTCATACAACCTTTATCTTTTCGTCCACGTAATACAAAATAAGGCTGTAAAGAATCATATTTGAAGGCTTTATGGCTTTTTCACAATATAGCTCACTACATATTGGAAAAAGTCAAAGTTCAGGCTACATATAAGGTTACTTATGAAATTGTTTTTCCACTCCATTCATTTGAGATTGATACTTCATGGCCAGGTGGAAACAACTAGCTATAAGGGTGGCAAACCTTGAAAAATCGGACATAGTTGAGAATGAAGACCTAACACTCTATTCTGTTTAATATGCAGAAAAACCAGTGTTTAAAGAAACAAGGACAAATGCAGTTTTTTTATTTGTCCCTATCAAGATTCGAAACTGAGAATTTGAGAAGAGCATACTCTCAAGACCCAAGCAATGTTATTAGTAACATAGTAAATAAGCCTTAAAGAGCTACATAAATTTTATTCAAGGAAAAGAGTAAACATAATGTAAATGATAATCATGAATTTTCAAATCAAAAGTGCAGATAATTCTTCTGTCTATTATAAACTGATATAAAAACTTTGATACAACAGAATAAAATACCCCCCCAATACATTCTTATAATACAATCTTTGCATACTTGTCACCTAAATCCATTTCAACAAAATGCTCCATTCTAGCCCATCTTTTCGTTGCGAAACAGATTCTTGAAATTCATCTTGTTGCTTCCCTTTCCCATACACATTGGCTGCCTCTACTACACTAAATTCTGCACTATACGCGAGATAACACAAACAACAACGACATTAGGACCGAATTCGTTGGACCTATTAATTTATACCCTCTCCGAATGAATACATCCATGACAATTTCGCTACACAAAAACTTCATTCACCCTTTCCTGCTCAGTCTATAGAACATCTCTTCCCAAAGTTCCTTGATCAAGTTTATAGCGGAGCCTTCCTAATCGACCCTACAAACAAAACAAAATACAAGGTACTATCTTCAATCTCAACTTCCTAAATTATAGCAAAAAGGCATGTCTTCATGGTTTAAAATTGCAGTCTGCAACAACAATTGTAATTTTAACCATAACACTTGCATTTTGCTGCAACTTAAAGGCTGACAATCTAACCACAACCTCAATTTAAAACCATGATTTACATTATGCTAGACAATACAAATCATCATCACCATTAACATACAAAAAGAGCAAGAAGCACTACAAAATTCAAGTAACCTCATCACAACCATGAACTATCATTCATAACATAAAACAAAACATGATTCAAACTTATGCCACAAACTCATTCTATTCAATCAATGTATGAAAAGTCAAAAGGATAACCCTCTAACATGGCAACAAATATACAACAATATGATCAAAACACTTGAATCCATCATTCCATTCTCCATGTGCATCTACTTATTAGTCAAAAAAAACAATGATTATCATGAACACGGATATGACATGTCATGACCCTTCACCAAACAAAAGTAAAACCCAATAAAGCTAGCCAATAAAACCTTCTCCTTTTTCATCCACATCCCAATCCAACAAAACACTCACAGAAAAAATAAATTTCCTATGCATAAAAAAAACTAACAATTCCTTGATAATATGACATAGACCACACAAGAAAAAGATAAAGACTTTTCATTTTCTCAAAAAAATCAAAAACTTTTCAAAATTTCAACCCACCAAACAACATAAACAAACATGATCAACAAGAAGACGACCACCCACCAAACCAAATCAAACAATTGAAATTGACCATGACCATGACCAAAGCAACATCACAATACATCCTTAAACAAAACAAACCTCACCTCGGAATGATCACGAACAGCAACACATTCAGGCGGGGTTTCAAACAAAGACAACGAGAATTGCTTATAAGCCGCACCAACATCAAAGTAAATCAAACCAGAGCTAGGAACATCAACACGAATACTCTTAACAGCCAACCAAAGAAAAAGATCTTGAGCTTCCAACCCTGTCAACCCATCAATCTTCCCGTAACTCAACGACCCAGATACGTTTCGATCATAATGCAACTCGTTCTCGAATTTAGCGTTACAAGCTTGATCTAAATGCACCCAGAATTTTCCATCTTCACCAACGTTGAATTGGGTGACACCCTTTGGGAAAATACCCATGGGAAGACCGTGGTTGTGGAGAACCTCGTAGATGGAAGTTGCATTTTTTGATGCAGAAATGGTTGAGATTGAGAGAACGAGGAGGAGGAGAAATTGAAACATGTTTTGAGAGTTTTGATGTTATGATGTTTTAGAACATTGGAATGAAGAGTGAAATGGGTTTTGGGATTGCTGAAGAGAGAGAGAGGTGACAGCTTGAATACAGAAGGGATTGGGCAAAGAATGATCAATTATTGGTATTGGGTGGTGACCGGTGACTGGTGTGTGGGGTTTTGGGCTTGTTTTGTTTTGTTTTGTTTTTAATACAAATTTTAGATTTTTTTTTAATTCTATTTTATACTATGTCTAACAAAATATAAACAAATTTTAGTTAAGTAAATTGTAACAATAACAAAATGCAAGTAAAAGTAGATTTTTTTTATACTATAATTAGTATTAACAAACTAAAATGTTCTAATTTGGATTCAATTACTTAATATCAATTGAAACAAATTTATATATCATTAATGCTTGTATTTAGGATAAATTACACTTGGTATTTGATACTATCAATAAAACTATGGTTAAAAACAAAAATAAATTAATAATTAAACATTGATCGGTAATAAAACATTAATACAAAATGCATGACTAAATATTGCCAAGGCAAAGTAGGATTATAGTGTATTTGTTTCAAGTTGTCAAAATGTTTCTATTTTTTTTTTTTTTTGGAATTAGGGATGTTTATTGGTTCAATAAATTCGAATTAAATCAAAATTTAAATTAAACTATGGTATTTGGGTTGGATATTTTTTTAGTTCGAGTAAAAATCGAACAAAATCAAAGAAATCCGGTGTTAATTGGTTCGGACAATAGATTTCTAAAATTCTATCCGCGAGCCCGTCTATCCGAATCAACCTGTTAGTTCGTGAGACACTTTTAGTGAGTAGAGAAAGAGAGAATAATAAAGGAAATAAGGATTATATTATTCACTTGTTACAAATAATGATACAGACTATGACTATTTATATACAACCATAATTGAGCTTGAACTAACACAACTTGGATTGTATTTAAATATTAAATCTAATCAAATCTAATCTAATATTTCAACACACCCCAATAATCAAAGTTGTCGGACCTATGATAATCATAGTCGATCTGAACTATTCCTAATTTCTTTATCAAATTCAGAAATTTGTCAATCTTTAATCCTTTGGTAAAAATGTCGGCTAACTGTGCTTCACTTGAGCAATGCCTACCATCAAGAAGTGAAATCTAGCTTCGATATGCTTACTTCTTCCATGCAGAACTGCATTCTTTGTCAGATTTATGGATGACTTGTTGTCGATTTGCAACACTAGAGGTTTCTTTACTTCAACCTCCATTTCTTCAAGTACATATCTGATCCAAATCGCTTGACATGAAGCATAGGATCCCGCTATATATTCAGTTTCACACGATGATAATGCCACCACATGTTGCTTCTTCAAACACTATGAGATTGAAGCACCAAATACTTGAAAGAAATATTCAGTTGTGCTTCTTCTTATCTCCACACCAATCAGCATCTGAAAAATAAGTAATTGTTGCTTCTTTGCTTTTAAAGTCTCGTCAAAATAGTATTCCACAGCTTATCGAACCCTTCAAATATCTCAGGATTCTTCTTGCAGCCTTCATATGTGACACTCTAGGTTTACTCATATATCTACTTACTAAACTGATAGCGAAACCTATGTTAGGTCGACTATTGCACACATACCTCAGAGATCCAATAATTTGTTTGAAAAAAGTTGCATCGACTTTGTCTTCCTCTCTATGTTTCTCCAACTTCAAATTCGATTCGACATGTGAGGATGCAGGATTCGAATCATCCATGTTGAATCTCTTGAGTATATCTTTGACAAATTTCCTTTGATGTAGCACCATACCTTGTTTCAACATTTGAAATTTCATGCCTAGGAAATAAGATAATTTTTCCATATCCGACATTTCAAATTCCTTCATCATCATCCCTTTGAACTTCAACAAGTTCTCTAAGTTGTTTCGAGTTACTAGCAAGTCATCGACATATAAGCAGATCATTGTTATATCTTATGCTACAACCTGAACATAGACATCATACTCACATTTGCATTTGACAAATCCCAATTTGACTAAGAATGAGTCGATCTTCTTGTTCCATGCTCTAGGTACCTGCTTGAGGCCATAGAGCGCTTTGTGCAACTTATATACTTTACTCGTTTCCTTCTGAATCACAAACCCAAGAGATTGTATGACATAGACCTCTTCATCTAAAGGACCATTTAGAAATGCTTATTTCACATCTAAATAAAATGTTGACCAGCCTTGGTTGCATGCCAATGCTACCACTAGTCGAATAGTCTTCAATGTTGGTACTGAAACAAATACTTCATAGTCTCGAGCTACTAATCTTGCTTTATGTCTTGCTATTGACCCATCAACATTGTATTTTAACTTAAACCACTCACTTCATTTCGATAGCTTTTGTATTTGATGGAAATTTGACTAACTCTCATGTATTGTTTCTTTTTATTGCTTGTAACTCTTGGACCATAGCTAACTTCTACTATTTAATCAAAGCTTCATTATGGTTGATTGGTTCAGCACCTGCAAGTAAAACAAAATGAACTAATTCTCCATCTGGTGTGACTTCATCACCCCCCACCACTTAATAATCATGAAGTCTTGTTGGAAGAACTTTATTTCTTTGAGGTCTTTGACTTGTTTAAGCCACAGCATCTCCGACTTCGACTGTTTCTGAAATGTCAGCAACTGCTTCGACTTTGATTGGAATATTAGCAATTTTGTCGACTTCGACTTTATCAGTTTCTTCATCAAAACCATAGCTCATCAATGGCTTGTTAGTTGCATCATTAGAATTCCAATCCCAGGCAGAATTTTCATCAATCACAATGTCTCGACTCAAAACAATATTTTCATTAACTATATTGAATATCCTATATGCACCAATTATATGATATCCTACCAGAATCATAGGTTCACTCTTCTCATCACGCTTCCTTTTTCTTACATCAGGAACATGCTTGTAACACATAGAGCCAAACACCTTTAAATGACTCACTGATGGTAGTTTTCCACTCCATACTTCTTCAGGAACCTTATTCTCAATATCTTGGTAGGGCACCTATTTAGGATATAAACTGCAGCCGAAATAGTCTCACCCCATAAAGATTTTGGCAAATTTTTCTGCTTTAGCAAGCATCTTTGTAATACGGTGGGAGAACTAACTTTTTTGGTTTTATCCAAATGTGCGGACAGCAAGAGTCGCCACCGACTTTTCTTTTATCCAATATTTAGGAAAGTTGAAAAGAACAGGAAAGATCTTTGATAGATTTTGAGTTCGGGGGGTAAGTTTCATCTGTAGTTATCTACTTATAAAAAAGGCGAAGGATTAACTACTTAGCTCACTTTTAAAAAACTTTCTTTGTATGTATGTGTGTGTGATTTGTTTTAAAATATTTTGAAAAGACAATGTAAGGATAACTTTGTAATGATTCTTATATCAGTCCTCAAGAATACTTACAAAGTGTTTTTGAAAATATTTGTTGTTTTGAAAGTGATGTGTGAAAATGTTTTGTTTGTGAGAAAAGTTGTGAGCAAACAAATATTTCATGATCAAATATTGATGAAATTACAAAAGATTTGAATTTCATGATCAAATATTTGATTGAAGTTTTTCATGAAATCTTTCTTTTTAAGTCCAATCCCATACCAATCACGTTTTTTGCAAGTTGTCACCAGCTTTTTAGACTTATGATTTGATTCAAAAATAGATCTACATGCCTTATATTATTTATTTGATTTATTTTGCTTTTAATTGAATAAAATCAAAATCAAAATAAATAAAAACCACAAAAATAAATGAATGTGTTGTACCCCAAAATTTGCCCTCTTATTTTTTTCAAAACATCCTCCTAGGGTTCCCAAATGCTTAAGGTTGCCCAAGAATTGATCAGATAAATTCTTCTCCTAAGCAATGGGTCCACAACTAGGGTTTCATATTTCAAAAGGAAGATTGGGTTTCAAAGGTCTCAAGTGGAATACATGGTTCCTTATATGTCTCCTAGAATTCTCATACCAAGTTTCAAGCCTTGCATCATAAGTTTGCTCAATCAATTGCTCAGATGACTGAAAATCAACTCTATTGGGTAAAAAGTCAACTGTGGTCAACATACAGTCAAACCTCAAGATTTTGATAAACATCAACCTTTTGAAGTTACATTCACCATTTCATCAAGGGTTGATCATGATTCCTCGAGAAAAGCCCCCAAATCATCAAATATCAAAAGTTACCAAATTAAGGTTTTCTTTAGGGGAAGTCAATTGAACTTTGACCAAGTATAACTTCCACATGCTTCATCAGTTTTGACCCAACCAAAATTATTTTGAATAAAATTAAATTCTCTACAGCTTTGTATCTCTATGCTCAAGTCCGAAAAATGCTTCATTTGAGAGATATGAGTCAATACATTATAGGTCATTTCAAAAGTCAACAAAAAGACACTTTTTGTCAAGGCAACTTACATCAAGATAAAGTCTCCAAATACAAAAATGACCAAAAGAGGGATTGTAAAGGACATCTTAAGATTTTCAAAAAGTCCAAGATCGCCTTCAAAATATGAAAATTGCGAGTGTCATGACCAGTGCAAGTTGGGAAATTTTGAGCAAATGCATGAAGTTCAAATTGAGCAAACTTGATATTTTGGACTATTGGGCCATTATTTTAAAGTCCAAACGTGTATTACACTCCTTATACACCTCAGATCTTGTTCATGCACCCTTGATCTATTTTATTTTAATTATTTTGATTTATTCATTAATATTTCAAAAATAAATAAGATAAAATATGAGGCTTCTTACACAAGGTCCAAGCCCATCCTATCTCTGACTTAATTCATGCTATTTAATCTCCACTCTTCATACATGCCAACCACAAAACCCTTGTCTCAAGAAACTTGTCCAAAAATCTCAAGCTTTTTCAAGAACCCTAAAAACTTGAGACCCTATTCATAGTCCCTTTCACTATAAACTAGCCACTTCATTCACTCACAGCAATCATACAGAGTAAGAATGGATCA